GTTTCTTGAACATGACAATGAGTTCACTGTACTAAAATGGCCCCCACAGTCACCAGATCTCAACCCAATAGAGCATCTTTTGGATGTGGTGGAACGGGAGCTTCGTGCCCTGGATGTGCATCCCACAAATCTCCATCAACTGCAAGATGCTATCCTATCAATATGGGCCAACATTTCTAAAGAATGCTTTCAGCACCTTGTTGAATCAATGCCACGTAGAATTAAGGCAGTTCTGAAGGCGAAAGGGGGTCAAACACAGTATTAGTATGGTGTTCCTAATAATCCTTTAGGTGAGTGTATATATATATATATATATATATAAATAACAATATATAAATATATATTTATTTATATTATATCTTATTTATAAAAAAATAAGTATTTTTGCAGTGCGCCATCTCTCTTGATTCATAGCAGATCTAGAAGAAATCAAATTTGTATTGTATTTAAGAATGGCACTGTCTTCCTCGTCTGTCTGTGTGTTTTACTCCACTTTTGATCTACTGCAGTACTAAATCACATCTAAATGGCCTATAATCTCATATTGCTATTAGAGCAGTGTATCAGAGAGATGTGACCGCTCTGGGCTAGGCTTTGGTTCACAGAGCTTTTAGACCCTGTTCTTTAGCGCTGACATATGTTCCTGTAGGAGTCTAATTGAAACGCAAGTGTTCCACCAAGAGTTGATTGAGTGTTTTTCCCAGCAGAGCCATCTCACACACCGCTGCTCCTACACGCCACTATTGCTGTCCTGTCTGCAGACATGAATAGAGCTGTATTTGGGAACTGTGGGGGAGACGGTTGTTACAGTTGCACCGTACTGTGTGCACAAGTCTGTGTGCTCTGCCTACGCAGGACTAGTTACATGGGTTATTTACAGGTTATTATTACTCTCAAATCTCTTTGGAGGTGCTATGCCAGAATAGCAGAGCGAATTAGTACAACTTAAATATCAGTTTGTTTCTCACATAAAGCTATCAATTCAGACAGCTTGAAATTTAGCATAAGAGTTGTTGACTGCTTTAGTGGTCTTTTTTTGGCAACCAAATTAGCAGTGCACTTTCATTGTGTGGAAGTCAGTTTCATTGTATGTAATGTTTTGTGTTCCACTAAATTATATATGAAGGTGAGTACATGACAGTGTTATTTTAGTATTATTTATACAAGTTTCATTGTTCTGAACAGAAACGCTTATTTGAAATGACCTCTAACCAGTTTATAATGTTATTTTATCGTGCTGTTTGGGAGTCAACCAATTAATTCAAATAAAATGGCCTATGCAAATGTGACATTGACGCATCCAATGTGAGTAAAATGCCCCAATTTTTCCGACTGCATCCTGCAGTACTACAAACCACGCCCCTACAAGTTACGCCCCCTTACAATGAGACAGCCAATTAGCACCTCCCTCTAGAACCATTGATGTCATCACGAGCCTCACTTCTTTTACAGTAAATTTACATCTTATTGAAGGGGTAGGATTAGGGTAATTTTAGGTTTGTGGTAGGTTTTTATATCTGTATTTGATTGTATTTGAACCATTACTATTCAATAAAAAAAAAAAAAAGTGCCATTATATTATTTACATTTTACCAAAATCAAGCTTAAATGAAGTTAGGTTTTTCACCAGCGAATGTCAGAAATGTGTGTTTTGTCAGTCATTAGAATGGCCGCATCTGAGGCAGTAAGTGCCTCGCATTGCATTTATATCAATTTACACAGATTACAAAAGATTATTGTTGCTATGAGTTAAAATATTGATTCTGCTCGGAGTGAACGGATCGATTTTTTTAGGCCCTGGGTCAGAATGCCTTTGATTGTTTCAGTATAGTAATGATAGCACCATTGATATTTGTGTTGTTTTTAATGAAATCACGCTTTCTTGAGCTTAGCCACAAAATTGCTGATGCATTTTCATCGTGTCAGCACTTTATCGATCAAATACTCATCAGAACCCACTTATGCATGGATTTTTCTATACCAAACACTATCTAACCAGCCCTGAAAGCAATCGATATTAGAAATGATTTTCCCAATGGCAGTGCAGGCCTCTGTATTGGAAGACATCCAGAGAACATGCAAGTATTATATTAGTCATAGTTGAACGACCACAGAGGACAGTATACCGCAGATCCCTGTCTGTTGCCGCCAACTGGGCCATTTCTCCCTTGGACCGATCACAACTGCTGATGAGCTCATAGCGCCCCAGATCCACCTTTACAGACATTTATAGTTTTACAACCATCTCCTCCTCTATTGCACAGTGTTTACTTTGAGTAACAAGGGAAGCACGTCAATTTGTTTTATTGTCATTTACAGCTCTACGATCCACATGGCTGTTCAGTTTCTGTGTATTCACTTATCAGTGCCATCCACGATAACGTAATAGGACTTGTGCCGAGGTGTTTAGAGCAGGGCTGCTGACAGATATCGAGATTGCTCTTTTTTTTGTCTGTCACAGAGAAGGCCGAATGTCAGACTGACCGGCTCATTATCTTCACAGACACAGGGTGATGTGGTTGCTGAGAGATGGATGCCAGCTGATGAGTTCTATTCAGAGAGGAAAACACAGCCAGAGAGATAGAAAAGAACAGGCAAATTACTAAATTAGTTGAGAATGTAAAAAAAAGACTGACAAAAAAGAAGAGCAGTGTCATTAGGAATAGGAATTGTAATGAATTTAATGATTGTGGCTCTGTATATATACAGTATATCTATGTGTAGGCACGTCTACATATCCTAAAGATGTGTGATGTGTGTAGAATATAATATATATATATATATATATATATAATATATATATGATAAAAGTAATAACTTGTGCGGTTTAGTGAGTGATTCAATACCCACAAAAAAATGTTGTTCCAAAATCATACTAAACTACTCATGGCGAAGTGAGGACAACTCGAGGTGAAAGAGGTGTTGTCATTGTCAGTTCCGGTTTTGATTCCTAACCTTAAATATGATCCTTTTCAGGTTTGCGCAGTGAAAGATTTCTGTACAGATCTTTATCGGTGTTGTAGAGCTCCTAAGTACCCTCTGAGATATTATTAATGTGGCTCAATTATGAATATTTGATTATTAATGCAATAACTGGAACCAGACCAATTTCAACAGATTGTACGAGGCAACACAAAAACGATGGTTTCATGAATTTCCCTCAGGAACATTTTAATCAGCCGTTTTTCAGGGAGGCTCAATTGGTTTCTTAAAGTGTTTTCCCCCAGAATGTAAAGTGGAGGAAACAAGGTCACTGCGAGAGCTGCTGCACCTATTTACATGCTGTCAGTGTTATCCATGTATTCATTTGTAAGCTTACAAGAATTTTAATGTATAATACTTTTGTTGTTGTTGCTGTTATCACAAAAGTGATTCATGTTAATCAAGATTATACAGGTAATGTTTCTTTCTGCTGGAAAATCCTGCTGAAGCCAAGCTCAGTGTATTGCTTGTTTTACATGATTTTTATTTGGTCCAAGCAGGTCATTATTAGCGGATCCAAGCTGGTTAAGATGGTTGATTAGCTAGTGGAGCAGCCGTTGGACCTGTTTTTTTACCTGGTTGACCATTTTAAAAACTAGTTTGGGTTAAGCTGGTATGACAGGTTGTATAAACTGCTTAGACTAGTCTTAAAAGATAGTCATTTAAAAAAAAAATCTTCAAGACATGTCCTAACTTTTTTAAGTCAGTTAGCCTTTATAATATATATAACTGACTTTAAAAAGTTAGGACATGTCTTGAAGAAAATGTTTTTTAATGACTATCTTTTAAGACTAGTCTAAAGGTAGATTGTCTTAACAACTGGCAGCTGTGTCTCTTCTAGCGTCATTTTTTTGACATTGTAAATGCATTGTTTTAAAGGGTTAGTTCACCCCAAAATGAAAATTCTGTCAGTAATTACTCACCCTCATGTTGTTTCAACCCCGTAAGACTTTCGTTCATCTTCGGAACACAAATTAAGATATTTTTTTATTAAATCTGAGAGCTGGATCACTCCCCCATAGGCTTCTTAAGGGATCGAAACTTGCCGGCCCAGAAAAGTTAAAGACATCGTTAAAATAGTCAGAGTGACTACAGTGGCTCTATCTTTAAGTTTATCAAGCGATGAGAATACTTTTTGTGCGCAACAAACAAACAAAAATAACGACTTTATTCAACTTTTAATTTCCTTCTCTGTGGGCCGCGAGACTTCACGTAGTGTAACTGCGCAGCGCTTCTGTTGTACGTCACACGCATCACACACATGACCAGCGTCGGCCAATAGTGAGCCTACGTGTGACGTACAACACAGAAGCGCTGCGCAATATCACTACGTGAAGTCTCGCGGCCCACAGAGAAGGAAATGAATAGTTGAATAAAGTCGTTATTTTTGTTTGTTTTTTGCGCACAAAAAGTATTCTCGTTGCTTGATAAACTTAAGATTGAGCCACTGTAGTCACTTGGACTATTTTAACGATGTCTTTAATAACTTTTCTGGGCCGGCAAGTTTCAATCCCTTAGAAGCCTATGGAGGAGTGAGACAGCTCTCAGATTTAATCAAAAATATCTTAATTTGTGTTCCGAAGATGAACGAAAGTCTTACGGGGTTGGAACAACATGAGGGTGAGTAATTACTGACAGAATTTTCATTTTGGGGTGAACTAACTCTTTAAGCGGGTCAATTGTGTACAAACTAGTCATCCATAGTTCAAGAATACAAATAATGTATTTTGGAAGTCAATTTGAAAAAATAAGTCACCCAATATTGGTATACTGTTTGCCGCCTTTGTATATCATCAGAATATACAGACTACCTGTATGATTCAGCAAAGAGTGATTTCTAAAAGAGCAAATCTCATAAAAACATGCCCATGTAACAAATAATACAACATTTTAATTACAGAAATGGCATTCAGTATAAAGACAATGAAGCCCTTTTGGAGTTTTTGCTTATAATAATTATCCAAATAAAATAATCATTATATAACTGAATAACAGCATGTGTTCTTCTATAATTTCAGGCTGTCGTTTAGAGCTCTGTGCTCTAGTAGGTGCTGTCCAAGGTCCTGAACTTCTCTAGCCCAGCTTCACTCTACTACATGCTAACAAGCAGCTCCTGACACCCGGCTCCAGCACTCTTTACATCAACACACAACTTTCAACCATGGATGAGGGTTACAGAGATCGTTCGGCCTTTATTAAAGGCGCTAAGGACATTGCCAAAGAAGTCAAAAGGCATGCAGGTAAAAAGGTGGGCCGCCACGTGGACAAGGTGGCTGATGAGTACACCAAACGCTCATATACTCGCTTCGAAGAGGAAGACGATGACGACGACTACCCCGTACAGGCCCAGGACGGCAGCTACTACCGCAGCAATAGCAGGGCCAATGACGACGAAGGGGCTCACAGTGACTCTACAGAAGGCCACGATGAGGATGATGAGATCTATGAGGGCGAGTACCAGGGCATCCCCAGAAACGACTCAGTGGAAAAGGGTGACAGACAGGTGGACGGAGTGGGACAATCTCAGTTCCGGGACGTAGCGCAGTATGAAGGCGAGAGGAGGAAGGACCAGGAGGAGCTGGCACAGCAGTATGAGACCATCCTTCAGGAGTGTGGCCACGGCCGCTTCCAGTGGACCCTCTACTTTGTACTGGGTCTGGCTCTGATGGCTGACGGCGTGGAGATCTTCGTGGTGGGTTTCGTCCTGCCCAGTGCTGAGAAGGACATGTGTTTGTCTGAGCCCAACAAAGGGATGCTGGGTAAGTCAGGAACAGCTTATTAGCTTTTATTTGTTGTTTTTTTTGCTATGGAGCGCAACAGTGCCCATCACCTTTTCCTGCAATCTTTTCTGCAAATGTTTTTTCCATTCATTTTTCCAATAGGGATTTTAAGAAAATTAAGAGGTGTATAAAAATATTACAAACTTTGATTTGAAAAAACTTAACAGCTTTAATGGGGGAAATATTACTGTATTACAGTTATTATTGGCTCTTTGACACATTGCTTTAGTTCTCTTTTGTAAGTAATTTTGGATTAAAAACTTTGGACAAAAACCACCAGCCAATAGGCTGGCCAGTTTGGGAGCCTACTAAGACAAGATGTAAGATGTTTTTTCAGTAGGGATGTATAAGACCATGTTCAATGGCTACTTTTGCTTACAAAAATGGCTTTCTGTGACATAAAAACAATATTTATCTTAAGGCTAGTTTCTACTGCCATTTTGTGCCATCTGTGTCAGTCCATCCAGCAAGGACACTCGACCATCCTGGTCGAACCCAACGCAGCATTGACGCAGTTTGAGCTATAATTAACTGACAATAGACTGCTGAACAGCACAGTGTGCTTTCATAGCTTATACTGATTCCTGTGGTGTGATACAAATGTTCTAGTAGTGTGTTTGCATGAATAGAGTCATTGAATATCATGTTACATATCCCCCCCCCCCCAAAAAACAAAAAAACAAAACAATGTATTATCATTAGATCATGTCCACAAACACTCTTTGGTAGGTTTAACTGCTGTACTCATCAATCCACATATGTGTTGCTGCTGTTAGACCATATTCATTATGTTTCTTTATGTTGTCTCTTTTTTAAATGATCTTTTATATGATTATTGTGACATCATTGTGTTACAATGTGAGCTAGTGTGCTCATGTCATTGCTTGTTCATTGAGATATTCTGCCTGGGTCTCAGCTTGAGCGTGTGTATGTGTGGAGTGCCATTAGGGAGCAGGGCCCTTGGTCTCTCCCCTGTTACAAAACAGCCCTGACTCATGCAGAAGTGCCATCTGCATCTCTGCTGGGTCCTTGTGCCTAAAGTTTCAATGCATGCGCAGCTGCAGCTCTGCAGCAAAAATGCTTCAGCCTCTGTCACATGACATGCTCCAATCAAATCCAACAGCGTGGATGTGTGGGATGAAATGGCCCGCGGAGTTTTTTTTTCCTGCTCACTGCACCCAGCAGTCAACCTGCATGTTTCAATACTGATGGCTTAAAATGTAAGGAATGAGACCTAGAAGAGACGGCGTAATTTGTTATTATTGTTATTATTATTATTGTTAATACTATTATTATTTATAACGGCACTGAAAGTAAATCGCCTCATTAAATATTATGACAAATCAGCCGTCAAGGAGATTTTATGGTTTGATGGATTTGTGTTCATCATTTGTTTGGATAGATGGAAAAGGAGATGGATGGATGGATGGATGGATGGATGGATGGATGGATAGATAGATGGATAGATAGACAGATGGATAGATAGATAGACAGATAGATAGATAGATAGATAGATAGATAGATAGACGGATGGATGGGTAGATAGATAGACAGATTGATTGATTGATTGATTGATTGACAGATGGATAGGTAGATACATAGATGGATAGGTAGATACATAGATGGATTGGTAGATAGATAGACAGATGGATGGATAGGTAGATAGATAGATAGATAGATAGATAGATAGATAGATAGATAGATAGATAGATAGATAGATAGATAGATAGATAGATCGATAGTTAGATAGATAGAGAGATCGATAGATAGATAGACAGACAGATGGATGGGTAGATAGATAGATAGATAGATAGATAGATAGATAGATAGATAGATAGATAGACAGATCAATAGTTAGATAGATAGATAGATAGATAGTTAGTTACATAGACAGATCGATAGGTAGGTAGATAGACAGACAGATGGATGTAGATATATATATATATATAGAGAGAGAGAGCTCTCGATGACAGCAGCTTTTATGTCACAGTTCTTTTGCCCTGTTACCGTGACAACGGGGAGGGTGAAAGGTGACGCCAGGTCACTATACCTTTGACAGAGAGTTTTTAGTCTGTTTCTCACCAGAACACCGGGTGCCAAACGGCACATTAGTCTGGGTGAAACTGAAGAACAGAATACACAAACCTGCCACAGTCCATTGCGCTCCCCTCATCTGTGACGCAGAGAGACACTCGCAGAAAGAAAAAAATGCACTAAAAATAGTGCCTCGGCCCCTCCCCCGCTTTCTGTCTCTTTTTTCTTCTCTTCCTCCTCAACCCTGGAGCTTGTGTGCTTTCCTGTCACTGTGCGGGAGAATCACAGCCTCCTCTCCCTCCCTTCCCCCTCTGCTCTTCCTCTCTCTCTCTCTCTCTCTGAGGCGGAGGTCAGCTGTCTCCAGGCACTCCCCTCTCCTGCATCTCTGAGACCCCTCTGACATAATGCAGGTGGCCCCGCCCACGCAACCATCACTGAGCCCTAATTGGCTGGGTCATACTGGAGTAGCATAAAACACACGCACCTTCCCTTTAAATTCAAGGCATGTGGTTAACCACAAACACAGCTGTTTTTATTAATGCTCTCTGCTGAGTAAGTTGTGTTAAATCGCGCCACACGTGTTCACTGTTGTCATCTCCATTGTTCAGGACAGGGAGAGCAAATGTGCTCTGCATCACTGGCTTTGAAGGTCATAAACAGTCCTGCATGAGAGCAGAATCCAGCAGAAACCACAGAAAGCAAACGCTCTTCACATATACAGTACACATGTTTGTTTATGGAATATTATTGAGAAAATGATCATGCTTTCATCTAGTCTGTCGTTTTCTAGAGAATTGTATTTGTGCAGCCAAGGATCCCCCCCACCCCCCGTATATATACTAAACAAAACAATACTTTTTAAAATCATTTTAGTTTTTTTTTTAACAAATTAAAATGGCATTTTACACAACAGAACCTTTTTGTGCTCTGCAGATTAATAGATAGATAGATCTAGATAGGATCTGCATGTATTTGAGATGGTGCTGCAAATGTTAAAGTATCTGAGTTTGTGTGGCAGCTGTCAGCACTGCTTCTCTCTCACCTTGGCCTCATATCAGGCCTCTATGGCCGACAGCCGTGATGATGGGCCGTGATAGGCATCACTGCAATGCAGCGCAGGGGTTTGTTAACTCAACCCCTCCTCTCCTGGGCCCATCGGCTTACACTGCACAAACCACAGCTCTCAACACCTTCTGACTGTGCCAGTGAAGCGCTGTGTCCATTGGGCAATGCAGTGGCAGACAGGGGTATGTACTGAAATGGGACACTGGGATTTAAATATGACAAGGCCATACTCTTACTAACAGCTGAAAGTTGTGTATGCAGCCTGGGTTGAATTTGATGACATGACAGATTGGGTAATTGCAGAACAACACAAAGACAATAACATGAACACCATAAGAACCAAATATATTTACTTGACAATTGTGTAAGATACTTTTAAGACTTTTAAGATAGTTTTTCTCTTTTAAGAGACTTTATCCTAAAATATATGAAAAACAATCCATATACTGTTTTATGTGTGTTTGTATATATATATATATGAAGAGTTTGGTTCCAAAACGCAATAAATCCATTTAGATTAATTTGAGTAAAAATGTGTTTTCTTTACCAAGAAAGTAGAAAGATGAAAATCACTATTTTCTGTTTCAAACTTTCACATTGCATTTGTAGGTCATAATAACAAAAAAAAAAAAAATTAAATCCAGGTTTTGATTTTCAAAGATTTATTATAAAAACGGATTATTTTTTCCCCCAAAATGCAATAAATCCATGTTTTTTCTTTTAATCAAAATGCAATTAATCCATTGAATCAATATAAAAGTTTTTTTTTTCATATTGAAACTGTTGAAAATACACAACAACGTAAGTTTATTAGTATACTATTTTTTTAAGAACTGTAAAGAAGATTGAAAACATTTTTCCTCCCCCCGAGTGCCTCATCTTCTTAATCTCCTCACGTAAATGATTCGATTTCGATGCCTTACGTTTCTTACCCACCGCAGAAACAACCACAGGTTCATCAATGCCGTCAAAATTATTCATTTTTTGTTTGTTTGTTGATCGAAAAGTACAAAATAGATAAGAAAAACTAGGAAGCCGGGTGTATTTAAGGGCTGCCGTTACTGTTTACATTGCGTGGAATGGTGCGTTGTGATTGGTTGAGAGCGGATATATCGCATTCTGCAGAGAAGGGAGGCTGGCGTTTGTCGCGGTTTGGAATGAAAGGGAGAAAACATGACAGAATAACACGGCGGATATCGCATTTTACTTAAAATTAAACATTGACTTTTCAATACCAACCAGATACAATACTGATTTTTGCAGTAATTAAATTTTTTTTTTTTAAATGGCGTTTATCGCGTTTTGGAACCAAACTCTTCATATATATATATATATATATATATATATATATATATATATGTGTATATATATATATATATATATATATATATATATATATATATATATGCACACACACACACGCACATTCTTTTATGTTTTTAAAGGAGTCTCTTATGCTCAACAAGACTACAGTAAAAACAGTAATGTTGTGAAATATTATTACAACTTAGAATAACTGTTTCTTATGTTAATATATAATTTAATTTATTCCTGTGATGTCAATGCTACATTTTCAGCATCTTCAGTGTCACATGATTGTTCAGAAATCATTTTAAGATTTGCTACTCAAGAAACATTTCTTATTATTATCATATCAACTTTAAAGTATTTCCATTTTTTATATATTTTGAAATACTAAATATATATTTTACGCTTAATGGAGTGATTTGAGATTCCCATGCGAATCATATAAGGAGTGGAATTTGTATGATCCTGAGAGTAGTCATCTATGTAGTGGGTTCCATTTCATGTAGGATGCTCCCTATATAGGCTGCTAACAGTAAGACAGCTCACTAGGTTTTGTAACAGAGCCATTGTGTTTCGGATGATTGTGTGCTTAAGTAGCTTAGCCAACAAGACCCAAGGTGTAAAAAGATGTTAATCCAGGGTTAAATGTAGTGTGAAAAACATAACTGAAATCTCAATTAAGTCTCTTCAGATGTAAAAGAGCAACATCTAAGGAATATCATATTCCGTGGGTCATTTATATTGTATTCATGCACAGGTTTATCAGTGTCGTGGCAGCACATCCATGCCAGCGGTGCAAGCAATCTGCGTTCACACGAACAGTCACATGACCAGCTGCTGGTGGAGCTGTGAAAGAGTCGTCATTCAGCAGTCAGTGTGAAATCTCTAAACCAAAGAAAACCTCTCACACGAACAAAAGACAAAATGAATTTGAGCTCACAGACACAAAACAATGAAAGCATTACATTCTATATAAGAAGCAAACTTTGACATTTGAGTTGAATTTTAGCTCATGTAGCTCTAGCAACAAGCGCCAGTTCCAGAATTGTCATTTTACCTAACATACTGCTCTGTTGGTCACTTTGATTTACTGTCTGTATGGAGTATCACCATTAGTCATCTTGATCTGATGCGGTATGATTTGGACAGGATGCTGGTATGGTTATTGATCCCCCTGTCTCTCTCGCTCTGTCTGTCTTTCTCTCACAGGTCTAATTGTGTATCTGGGTATGATGGTGGGTGCCTTTGTGTGGGGAGGTCTGGCTGACAGAATCGGGCGCAGACAGACTCTTCTGATCTCTCTCTCCATCAACAGTGTCTTTGCTTTCTTCTCCTCCTTTGTCCAAGGATACAGCTCCTTCCTGTTCTGTCGTCTGCTCTCCGGTGTGGGGTAAATGCACATTTATAAAATATTATAAAAAACACATATTTATTTTTAAAAAAAATTGTGTTTAGATATGAGGGTAAGACAAAATTTAAATTTGGATCTCTTTCAGATAACTTTATAAAAATAAATATGGCATAAAATTAGTTTAAATTAATTATTAAATAAATAAAGTGCATTCTAAAATATCTGTTCTTCCATATATATATATATATATATATATATATATATATATTTTAGGGCTGTCAAACGATTAATCACGATTATTCGCAGCCAAAATAAAAGTTTGTGTTTACATAATATATGTGTGTGTACTGTGTATAATTATTTTGTATGTAAATGCACACACGTATATATTTAAGAAAAATATGTTATTTATATATAAAATGTTTATATTTATATAAAATATACATTATATATAGGCTACATTCAGTCTATATACAGTATATACATGCAAATATTTCTTAAATACACATGCACGTGTGGGTATTTATGTATTAAAAATAATTATACACAGTAACAGTACACACACATATAGTATGTAAACACAAACTTTTATTTTGGATGCGATTAATTGTGATTAATCGTTTGACAGCCCTAATGATTTGTAATTAGCTTTTATTTTTATTTTAGATTTTTATTTCTAATTTATTTTTAAGTTTTAATAATATAAGTATTTGTACTTAAACTTGTTTTATTTCAGTCAATAATATTTCAAATTTTCGCTATAGTTTATACATTTTTTTCAGCTTATTCCAGTAAACAAAAAAATATTTTTAATAGTTAGTTTTTGTTACCAGTAACAAATATAATATATATATATATATATATATATATTATAAACATATAAATGGACTTAGACTTATATACTTTATATATATAGTTGTTTAAATTCATTTATAAGTTTCTATAATTTCTTATATTTACAAATTTTATAGGTGGCGTTTTAAACAGATTATTTATAGAAATATCTTCTAATAATTCTGGAAATTCTCCATATACTGTGTGTATAAGCATGTTTATACTGTAAAATAAATACAATAGTACTAACAACTATGCTAGAAGCTGTTACATTTTTTGACAAAATTTATTCCATTTTAATTCTACTTACTGAAATCTTTACTAGCTAAATTTAAATTTAGAAATGTATTGCAATGATGTTTGAGTTTTTGATGTTTAATATTAAATGAGATATTTTCATTTAAAAAAAATGATGTACAATATACGTAATATTGTAGTGCCGCTCTGTTTCATGCTGTAGGATCGGTGGCTCTATTCCCATTGTGTTCTCATATTACTCTGAGTTTCTGGCTCAAGAGAAGCGTGGTGAGCACTTGAGCTGGCTCTGCATGTTCTGGATGATTGGAGGCATCTACGCTGCTGCCATGGCCTGGGCCATCATTCCCCACTACGGTAACTAGCACTCTTAAATCGTTGGGGTGGTGTACTGTAGCTTAATGGTTAATTGATCTCAGCTGGTGGCTGAAAGGTTGTAGATCCATTAACTCGAGACTGTGCCCTTGTGCAAGACACTTAACCTCAGCTTACTCCAGAGGGGACTCAACCGGTAACTTAAGATGGAGATGTCACAGAAAGTAAATCCACTAATTATCGTGTCGTGTGGTGGTCAATAAAGATTTTAGGGATGTATGAACAATCCAGAGGTTATAGAAGTTATAAATCTCATCAATTTCTCTTCAGAAGTAGGTCATGATTTTAAATGCCTAGTTGCCATGAATACTTACCAGAAATGCCACAAAAAAAAACAAAAACAAAATTGGTGGAGAAACAATTTTCACTCATGATTTGTTAGTAAATTTCACAATTTCAAACAAACGCCATGTAACACACTGGGCCTTATCTTGCACCCGGCGCAAATGACTTTGTACACTGACGCATGTATCATTCCTATTTTGCACCCGCGCAAAGCGGGCTTTTCCCTCCACAGACGCACGTCGGTAAACTAGGAAATGAACTTGCGCTCCCTGGGCGGGTCGGCGCAAAAAGGAGGCGTGTTTCGGCGCAAACATTCCCTAGTGCTATTTTGCAGTTCCAGAAAACAATTCCGCCACTGACCAGAAAAAACCTAGTCTAAAGTCAGTGGCGCGTTGCGCGTTGTTCATAATGCTATTTTAAGCGCGCATGGCCATAATGTAGCGGGTGCACAACGCGCATACACTTTGATTCTCTCATCAACACAGATGCAGCAGTTTTTATTTTTGCAAATCATACATTATAACAAGGAAAAATATTAACACATGAGGGAAATCATTGTGGTGTCCATGAAGATGTAAAATAATGTAGGCCTAAATCTAGCTTACACATTTACCCAAATTTTTCAGGCTAATTGTAGTAATGACGGATCAGACCTGCCCAATAGTGGCAAGACACATATGTATGTAAGGACATCTGACAAATTAGTTTGTCCGTCAAGAACCAAAAAAAAAAAAAAAAAACTCCCATCCCCATACAACGTCACTTCTCTGTCTTTCACTGCCCTGACAAGAACGTCGGTCTCCTCGGCTGTGAACCGCTCCTGGCGCGCGCCTGGTAAATCCCCCATAATAATAGCAATCCGCCATGCAACATGCGCACCTGCTCTTAAAGGGTATGTTGGATGACGCTCTGATTGGTTTATTTCCCGTTACGCCCAAACCACACCTATGAATAATGAAGCTATTTCAGACCAACCCCTTTTAAACTTGCGTCGGGCGCAAGAGTCATTTATCCCGCCGGTAAAATAGCAACAGCGCCCAAGACCCGCCCACAAAGTTACTTGCGCTTTGCGCTTGATACTTGCGTTTCAGATCGTTAAAATAGGGCCCATTGAATGAAACGTGACATTTTGAAGGAAATTATTAGCATGTGGACGTTTGTTGTGTATAAACCCTATTGACACTTTTTGCTTATTTAAAGACAGATATACCGTAGTTTGTTCAGTAAACCACTGTTTGAAAAAAAAAATCGTGACTTCAAAACCAAGTTACGTACCGAACCTTCCGAACATCATTTTTATGAACCGTTACACCCCATATGAAATAGTTTTATTGTAAAACTAACTCAAGTCTTTGTTTTATTAAAAACTTTGAAAAAGTATTTTTTTTACAGTGCATCTCAATTGTGCTTTTTTGTCATAAACGTTTCATAATTAAGCCTAAACATTGTAACAACTAATATGGCTTGATGCACAAACTGTGCCAGGGTTAGCTTGGGTCATGATTATTAATTATAGTATATGTAAATATTAATAATTGGCTATTTTGTACAGCAGCAGCATGTCTTAACTTGCTCACAGCAGTGTGTTGTCTATGTATTGGCAGTAGCAAGTCCCGTACTTGTCAAACACTCCAAGTTTTCATGACAGAAAGTAGTTCACTAATATATGGCCTTTTCTTTAAACCAGGCTGGAGCTTCCAGATGGGATCAGCCTACCAGTTTCATAGCTGGCGAGTGTTTGTGCTGGTGTGTGCGTTTCCCGCCGTCGCTGCTATCGCTGCGCTGACCACCATGCCAGAGAGCCCACGCTTCTTCTTGGAGGTTAGTGACGTCCCACATCTTGGCTTTGACCAGTGTTTTTTGGTTAATTCTGTAGGTAAAACTTGCAGAATGAGCTACTAATCAAAGATGACTTTAATGCATTGTGTGTGTTTTACCAGAACGGGAAACATGATGAAGCTTGGATGATTCTGAAGCAGGTCCATGACACCAACATGAGGGCTAAGGGATACCCGGAGAGGGTTTTCTCTGTGAGTACAGCCAGAGTCATCCCTCATTCCTTCAAAAAGAACGATAACATTAGGACAGAAGTGATTTGTGGGAATTTTATTTTCTCAATATGAATTGGAAATTAATCATGCAGTCACGCTAATAGGTTTCCATTAAATGGCCGAGCTGGGAGTCAAAATGGCTTTCATGCACGTTTAATCAAGGTCAATAAAGTTATTATTTACATGTAAATTATGCAAACATGTTTCATGTGATATTTTGGGATATTTATTATAGTTTCATATTTCACAATAATTAGCATTGTAAATCTTAATCATATTACTTAATTAGACTCTGCTCACCTCTCACTGACAAGTAGTTTTATAGAAATATCCTGGGCAAAAGAATGGGCCAAGCAAAAAATGGCAGAGGTCTTTTATTGGTCTAACCATTTTGTTTACAAATCACTGGTCAGAAAATTAGCAAGAATTGCACAAATACTATTGATAAAGTAATTTAGCACAGAATATCCTTCCATAACTTGCCAGACAGCTTTTTACAGAAGGAAGAGTCAGTGCTGTTCCACTCAATGTTGATGGCTTCAAACAGTTCATGAGTAGTTGAAAAATGTTTCCCAGTTCATTTGAGTTTAATGAGAGACCAGATATTCACTATAGGGTTCAAACCTGGACTCGGACCAGCTCAGAGTTGTTCTCAGGCCACTTCTTGGTTGTCTTTGCAATTTGGGCAGGAGCATTGTCTTGCTGAACAATAATTATTTTCCCGCATTTGTGGGAAGCAAGCCATTCTGCAATATTCTCCTCTACTCCAAAGCATTAAATGACTTTTCACAGTGAAGCATCTCACCAACACCAGCAGCTAAAAGGCTCCCCACACAATGACACTCTTCCTCCATGCTTTACAGTGGAAGAGATGCATTTATTATTATATTTCTCAGCAGATTTTCAAAGACACTGCTCTGGAGCATCACCACGGAACTCGTGTTTCATTGTGATTCATCACTCAACACACAACCCATATTCTGCCAAAGATTTCATTCAGTCTTTATTTTCTGAGACAGTTTTTGAGAAATGCATTTGCTTACATTTCGCAAATTTCCTGACCAATTATTTGTGGTTAAGACAATTAAAAGTATAAGTGTTAGCCATTTTTGCCCTGGAGTGTGTATATATAGGCAATTGAATTTCTATCAATTAACCACACAAACCTATCAGTAAAGTATCAAGGCACTTTTTCAAGCATGCTGTGAAATCCCCAGGTCACCACCATTAAGACGGTGAAACAGATGGATGAGTTGGTTGACATGGGTGGAGAGGCCACAGCCTGGCACCAGCGCTGGAGGATCAAGCTGACCAACCTCTTCCACCAGGTAGAGTACGACAAACACAGACAAAGTCGTGAAAAAGACTACCACTATACGAAACTGTAGTTTGAAATGGTCCACAGGGGACCTATTCTACACTTTTGTACCATTTTATTTTATATCAGTCAAGGTTTCTTGCACCAAAAAGTCATTTCATTGTACATAAGCATTTTTAACCCTTTGTACACTACCGTTTTAATGAAATTCATATTTGTATTCCTCAAGGATGCATTAAATTGATCAAAAGTGGCAGTAAAGACATTCATAATGTTACAAAATATTTCTATTTCAAATAAATCCTGTTCTTTTGAATTCTGAAGAAAATGTATCCACAATGTTTCCACAAAAATATTAAGCAGCCCCAGGGATATTATTGTTAACCAAATCTAAAACTATTAAAAACATTTTAATTGAAATAACTGTAAAATAAAATAAAATATTAGATGAAAAACTTTAAAAATTACTAACTGGAAATAAATAAAAACTAAAACTGAACTAATAATAAAACCAACAAAATAATGAATTAATTAAATAAATAAAATTAAACGTAAATAGTATTATTTGAAAAGAACAACAAAACTAATAAAAATGACAAATACCGAACAGGCATTGATATATAAATGTGGATAGTCATATATCAACATGCTTATGTAATTATGATGTTGTTACTGTGGCGATTCTGGTTGACACACATTTGCAGCTTAGTTTCCATAAATAGTAAATGTTGAAGTGTGTCTACATAGAGCGAGAAAAATATGTGTAGGATTTACTTGTTTATAAACAATATTCATTAATATAAATTGCTAGTAAATTTCACAAATAATTACAAAGAAAAGGCAAGTAACACATCGGATTAAACATGACATTTTGAAGTAGAAAGACTGAAATAGTATTTTCTTGTGAAACATACTCCAATGTATTTTGTTGATACATTATTGGAGTATATTTTTTTTATGTTGGGTTCTCAGGTGTGGAGCAACTTCTTGACGGTGTTTAATCCAGAGTACCGGAGGATCACCTACATGATGATGGCCGTGTGGTTTTCCATGTCCTTCAGGTGAACTACACCGAACTTTTCCAGACCATCTAATGATTTGTCCATCTGCATTGTTTCATGGCTTGTTGCTCTCTGCCTCCAGCTACTACGGGTTGACCGTTTGGTTCCCTGACATGATCAAATACCTGCAGAAACAAGAGTACTCCTCACGCACAAAGGTCTTCATCAAAGAGAAAGTGGAGCATGTGACCTTTAACTTCACCCTGGAGAACCAGATCCACCGGAATGGAGAGTACTTCAACAACAAGTACGAGCTGCTCACAGGCAGTATGCCAAACATATTTCAGTAAATAGAGCTGACCTTTCTATGAAAGGTGAAATGTGTGGTGACATTCCGCTTGGAATATTCCAGATCAAATGCAATTTAAGTGTGATAGAATGGCTTAACAACCTTGAGTGTCTTTTAAACATGCATTCTGTTTTTTTTTGGAAGAATGCAACTTGGATGGTGAAAATAATAGTAAAAGAAATATTTAAATGTCTCACGCAATATTATCTCTGTTCCAAGTCAGCTGACTAAAACATCATATACTGAATGTGAAGACGACTTCTTTTGGGCCAAAATATAAAGCATCATTTGCAGTGTCATATGCAGATTTATATACTATTATTGTTTTAATTAATATGTAAGGAATAATTGACGACGGGCCATTGAATTATTAGAAAAACAATGCACACCCGAGGTGTAACATTACCACCTCGGGTGTGCGCTATTTTTCTAATAATTCAACAGCCCGGAGTCAATTATTCTGCTTATGCTACGGTTACCAAACCTCAAAACATTGTTCAGATGATGTATTTCAAGACGTTTGTCCAGTTTTTGCCCTTAAAACGCTCTTCTGTGTAGGACTGATTTTTTATCCATCTAATACCAAGAATTGCTAATTCAAAAACGTCACTTCAGTGCTAGTAACGGAGGCTTGAGCCATTGCTAGCAGACTGATGCAGTTATTAGAGAGAGAGAGAGCGTGTATGAATCACCCGAGTCTGTGCGTCTCTCAACAGTATTCGGCAGTATTCAAGACCTGCCTGGATCTACTTTAGCCGTGCGTTTCCCTGAAAATAATTGCACACCTTAGAACGCTCATCAACCAATCAGATTCAAGCATTAAACAGCCCCGTAGTATAATTCATGTTTATTGCATTACTTTAGTGTCAAGTGTGTTACCATGATTGTGTTTAGTATTTGTATGAATGACACCTTTTATATATTAGTATTTACCTTCTGTGATGAGCTTTGATTCATGTGACTTTCTCATCACCATCTGTTTTTGGTGGTTGTCAGTATATTACAAAGGTACAAAGCAGATATTAGAATAGGTTGGTTATATTAACATTATATCAGTTAATGAAATATGTTTTTTTTTTTTTTTTCTGTAATTTGCTGAATCTGTAAAACGTAAAATGTTATTACCATATTTTTTATGGTACATTTCTGGCAATCACAGCTGCCTTTTTTATTTGGAGCACTTTGTGAAAGCTAAATGAAATCTGAATACCGCTAAGCAATACAAATGTCTGGTCACACTTTAGATCAGGGTCCAATTCTCACTCTCACTCCAACTACGACTTTTGCCTCAAACTCCTAATTACTGCTTTATATTAGTTTGTAAGGTGGTTGTTAAGTTTAGGTGTTGAGTAGGATTAAGTGATGTAGAATGTGTTTATTAGTGATTTATAAGTACTAATAAACAAGACCATGGGGTGGTGATGGCGCAGTGGATAAGACACATGCCTTTGGTGTGAGAGACCCGGGTTCGAATCCACTGTGAGACACCAATGTGTCCCTGAGCAAGACACTTAACCCCTAGTTGCTCCAGAGGCGTGCGACCTCTGACATATATAGCAATTGTAAGTCGCTTTGGATAAAAGCGTCAGCTAAATGAATAAATGTAAATGTAAACAGCCAAAATCCCAGTAATATGCATGCTAATAAGCAACTAGTTAATAGTAAAAATCGGACCCTAAACTAATGTGTTACCAAATTTCTTAGTGGATCTTTTCTCTTTGCTATTAAAGGTTCTTGAATCTGAAGATGAAGTCTATGGTATTTGAAGACTCCATGTTTGAGGAATGCTACTTTGAGGATATCACGTCAAGCAACACCTTCTTCAGAAACTGCACCTTTATCTCCACCCTTTTCTACAACACCGGTGAGAAGACCACAGATTTCACCCTCCTGGCTATAAACAAATATAGCACTGCCGTTGAATGTTTTTGAATGTGATCGACACATTCAGACGTATACAATTATTTGGATTCAAGCCGTAGGCATTCAAAACTATGATCCTTTATAAGAAGACACTCATGTGACATGTTTTGCTACGGTTAAAATGGCCTCAGGTTTTAGAGCTATTGAACGCATTTCAGGTATCCTAGCAACACCAGCTCAGATTCTTCCTCTGCCTGTCTGTGAGGGAATGACAATCTGCTTTTCCTGAATCAGTCGTACTGGGCGTTTAGGATCGTTTCTCTGAGCAGCTTGCAGATGAATGATGAAACTTAAAAACAAAAGCTTTGAGTCTGTTCTAAAATCTAGTAATCTGCCTACCTAGACAGCATTTTAACTTTCACATTCATGCAGACACTTTTGCTTAAAGCAATTTTCATTGCATTTGAGGTGTATTTTATCAGTCCATGCATTCCCTGACATGCATCGTTTTGCTGTTCCAAAAGGTAGGCAAATCCCAGAATGTATTGCAAAGCGCTTAATGAACACATTCATTCAATATGGCAATGAAGTGAGAGACTACGTCCTGGTTTCACAGACAGGGCTTGGATTAAGCCAGGATTAGGCCTTAGTTAAATAAGGATACTTAAGTAGTTTTTATATACATGCCTTAGAAAAACCCATTACTGGTGTGCATATTTTAAGATATGTCAGTGCAAGTTGCTTTCAGTTAAGACAGCTCAAACATGCATTTTAGTCTGTGACTAGACTTAAAGGGATAGTTCACCCAAAAATGAAAATTAGCCCATGATTTACTCACCCTCAAGCCATCCTAGGTGTATATGACATTCTTCTTTCAGACGAATACAATCGGAGTTATAAAAATGTCCTGGCTCTTCCAAGCTTTATAATGGCAGTGAATGGCTGTTTCTGTTTTGTCCATAAAAGTGCATCTATCCATCATAAAAGTGCTCCACACGGCTCCGGGTGTTAATAAAGGCCTTCTGAATCGAAGCGATGCGTTTGTGTAAGAAAAATATTTTTATTTATAATATGGATAGATGCACTTTTATGGACATTATGGGTATGTGACTCCCTCGTCTACTTGTGATCCGATCGACCAAAACGTATCTTAATACCAGATGTAAACAGGGCCAGAAATGCTGTTGTCTTCTATATGGGATGATTTTAGTATCAAAATGATTAACACGTGCAAGCACACTTATCAATGAACTTGATACATGTTGCAGAAATGTTTTATCCATGCCTTTCAACTTGTGTGTGCAAAATTCAAAATTGAATGAATGTGAAGCAATTTGTACAAATAGAGACATTTTTGTGAATACAAATGTTTTCCTTTGTATTAGTGTATCATAATTTGCACATGCAACACAGAAGACGTGCATGTGTGGATCAGGTGACGCGCGTGCATTCATTGACTCGATTCATTGAGTCGATCCTATTTGATTCATTTGGATTTTGAGACTTTCATTTCGCGGGTTTCGCCTTGCACGATCCACACACAGCTGTCTGAGAAAAGCTGCTACCACTAGATGGCAGTATTCTGCTAAAACAGACAACGGCAGCATAATCAAGCGTTCTTCCGCATTTAAGACGCTTAATGAGAGTGATATTGAAGCACCAAATTTAGTACACAATAATATAGGCCTACCCTATTAATAAAGCATACTTTATAGAGGTAAACAGATAACATCAGATTATGAACAACACCCATAGAAAACCGTTAGTTGCATGTTCAATAGCCTACGGTATATTGGCAACTGAGTTTAAATATCACCGTCTTACTGCATTGACGTTAAGCTTTTTCTTTATAATATGCTCTATGGGAGGAAAACTATATAGCCTACAGACAAGAGACTACATGAACGCAACGCACGGCGTTTCAAGTTAATACAATTTTCCTTCCTGTTGAAAAAAAGGTGAAATTTCGCAGTTGCGTTCATATTATATGCTTATTTTTATCTGACTACACATTGTGTACATAGTATACAAGCAGGAATTTGAAAATGTCTGTTTTTAAATATTAAAGACGATTTTCGCAGTAGGCTACATTTGTTTTCCCTTGACCCTTAAGCCATAGGCTATAGTCTTACTATAGCACGATGAGTTTTAACAATATGCAACCATTGTATATCGACATGAAATATTAATTGAAAATCAACTGGCGTAGCGGGCCTGTAGCTGCATATTTCTACATGAGAATGCTTTGACGCGCTAACCACAGCTCATGATGCACAAGGGAACGTCTGCCAATTCCACTAACTGCGTTAAAACCACTGATCTATAATGTCATTCTATATAGATCAGTGGTTAAAACGTATAATTTGTTTTAATTCAAATTACTTTTTAAATTTAATAACAGACATTTTCAAATTCCAAAGCTCGTAGAAGGTTTCTGTAAGACTGACTTACAAGTAAAATTTGGACAATACTTCCCTTCATGTAGCCTGTATTCTGCAGAAAAATACTGTAATTCACCAAAAGGGTTTTTTCATGTTCAAAATGGTTGTAGTATGTTCAGTGACTAGACTGGCTTACTACAGGTGAAATTGCCCCAATAACTCCCTTCATGTAGCCTATTTAGTAAACAATTATTATTTTATAAAAAAATTACTGTAATTAACCAAACGGGTTTTTGGTGACTTACTACAAGTGAATAATGTAAAATTTCACCTGACTTGTCACTAGGAACGTACTACAACCTTTGGAACATGAATAGAAAAACAATTTACAGTAAATTAAAAAATTGTAGGCTACTGTTCAATCGAGATATTGGCTGGACATAGTACAGTAACAGTAGGCTAAGTCAGTCTGCCCACTAGACTTCCAAGGTTATAATATAACCTTGGAAATATGTTCATTTGAATGAATGACTGGACGTTTATATTTTTTTGACTGTGAGTGGAGTTTGCAGATGGTCCCTTTATAAAATGAGGCGAATATCAAACCTAAAACTTACTTCACTGCACTCTCGGACCGGTTGCTCTCCCATTCACATGCAAAGTTAAACGCAACTGCAGAATTTTTATTTCATGTTAAGCTTTTTCTTTTTAACAGGCTCGGGAAGGAAATGTTATTAACTTGAAACGCCGTACATTGCGTTCATGTAGTCTCTTGTCTGTAGGCTATATAGTTTTCCTCCCATAGAGCATATTATAAAGAAAAAGCTTAACGTCAATGCAGTAAGACGGTGATATTTAAACTCAGTAGCCAATACACCTTACTGAACATGCAACGCGCGATTGCACGTTAAGCGTTTTATAATGGTTTTCTATGGGTGTTGTTCATAATCTGACGTAATGTTTGCCTCTATAAAGTATGCTTTATTAATAGGGTAGGCCTATATTATTGTGTACTAAATTTGGTGCTTCAATATCACTCTCTCATTAAGCGTCTTAAATGCGGAAGAACGCTTGATTATGCTGCCGTTGTCTGTTTTAGCAGAATACTGCCATCTAGTGGTAGCAGCTTTTCTCAGACAGCTGTGTGTGGATCGTGCAAGGCGAAACCCGCGAAATGAAAGTCTCAAAATCCAAATGAATCAAATAGGATCGACTCAATGAATCGAGTCAATGAATGCACGCGCGTCACCTGATCCACACATGCACGTCTTCTGTGTTGCATGTGCAAATTATGATACACTAATACAAAGGAAAACATTTGTATTCACAAAAATGTCTCTATTTGTACAAATTGCTTCACATTCATTCAATTTTGAATTTTGCACACACAAGTTGAAAGGCATGGATAAAACATTTCTGCAACATGTATCAAGTTCATTGATAAGTGTGCTTGCACGTGTTAATCATTTTGATACTAAAATCATCCCATACTTCTAAGCCTTCGAAGTAGCTCAATGGTTTAGAACACATGCATAGAGATGTCATACATCTACTGATTCTTATAGTGGTCTGACCTAGAAGCGTTTACGTAAACTGCTGTGGAGGAATAGCTGCTGTGTTGGTTAACAAGAGCCCTCATCTGTTTTTAGACCTGTTCAAGTACCGGCTGATCAACAGCAAACTCATCAACAGCACCTTTCTGCATAACAAAGAGGGTTGTATGCTGGATTTCAGCGATGAGAACAACGCCTACATGATCTATTTCGTCAGCTTCCTTGGCACACTTGCTGTCCTGCCTGGGAACATTGTGTCTGCTTTGCTTATGGACAAGATCGGACGTCTAAGAATGCTGGGTAAAAAAAAATAAAAACCAAGTTGCATCAGAGCTGAACACATTTTAGAGCTTTGAAAATGAGGCAATTTAACTTTAACTTGTTCTCACTCTCCTCTGGTGCAGCGGGCTCCAGTGTGATTTCCTGCGTCAGCTGCTTCTTCCTGTCATTTGGAAACAGCGAATCCGCTATGATTGCCTTGCTCTGTCTATTTGGGGGCATCAGCATTGCATCATGGAATGCCCTGGATGTACTAACGGTGGAGCTGTACCCCTCGGACAAGAGGTGGGCCAAGTTCATATTTCTGTGATTACTGCATCTACCACAATTGCCACTTTTCTCTCTGCATTGTATTAATACAATGACCTCAGTAAGTATTTGGACACTTGCATTTTACGCCACACTTTAAAATGAATAATTGTCATGGAATTAGATAAAAACACGATTCTCTTCTCCTTTAATATATATATTTTTTATTATACTAAATGAAAATGATTAGAAACATTAATAGATCAAACATATGTCAGCAATTTTGTGCTGCATTGCCACTGCAGTGCAGATCAAATACATTATAATTTAGGGGATATCTAAAAATTCTCAGTCAAAATGAATGAAGTGTCAGTGGTTCTGCCACAGAGTCCTTATGCATTATTTCTAAGAAAATATGTTGACAGTGCCTGCTCAATAAATGCGTGCTCTTTAGCACCTCTAAGAGGACATTTACTGAACAAACATTTGATTTCAGAAATGTTTTGAGATTGATAGATAGATGATCGGTTGATTGATTTGATCGATCATTGATTGATTGATTGGTTGATTGATTGATTGACAGACAGACAGATCATCCCCAAATGGTAGTGTGGATACTATATAGATAGATAGAAGGATGAACGCATAGATGGATAGATTTAATATATTGGATCCATCATTTTCTTTCTAATAGACCGCAAGTGGTAAAAGTTGTGTGATGAAACACCATAAAGTGTTAAATGTGTATACTTACGAGTAATAATTTCTTAACACCTTGAGTGATTAAAATGAAACACTAACACAGTGTTTGAAAAATAAACACTTTTGTCAGTGTTGTTTTAACACTAGCAAAGATGGACCTGTATGTTCACCCGGAAAGTGATAATTTTAACACCCATGGTGACAAATCTCCCGACATATTTTTGCTGTGTGGACAGTTCATTATCACCAACCATTGTTCTTAATACCAGCGCCCCCCAGGGGTGCGTACTTAGCCCATTTCTTTATATTCTATACACAAATGACTGTCAGAGTCCATTTACCACTACTCATTACTTTAAATATGCAGATGATACAGCCATTCTTGATCTGCTTAATAAGGACAATGACTCTTTTTTGGACTATCAACGTTCTATAGCACATTTTAGTATGTGGTTTGAGGATGACTTTCTGCACCTCAATATTTCAAAGACTTAGGAACTGGTCTTTAGCTCCCCAAAAACCCAGATTCATGCTTCTAGCATTACCATTAACGGAGAGATAGTTGAAAGGGTAGAGCATTTCAAATATTTAGGCATTACTTTGGATCAAAATCTCAACTTCAACCACCACACTCCAGGGGTTTACAAGTGCTGTCAACACAGACTGACAGCTGTTCGTAAACTTAGACACTTGTCTGTTCAGCCTCGTCTTCTTCTTCTTTTCTATCGCAGTATTATTGAGCCAGTCCTTACTTATGGTGCCATTTGGGTTTTTTTTCATATGCTAACAGTTACCAACAAGAACAAATTCTTAAAGATAACTTATTTAGCAAGTAAAATTATTGGTATCCTTACCCTTAATTTACCACCCACTCTATACATATTTTATCCCCCTGCCCTCTGGTCTTAGGTATAGGTTACTGATGTGTAGAAAGGCCAGGTATAGTAAGAGTTTTGTTCCTGTATCTATACGAGCCCTAAAGACATAGGAAATTGGCCATTGATACGTCACTTATGCTCTCTTTGTTGTTGTTGTTGTTTTTTTTTTTTTTTGATGTCAGTAACTAGTTTTGATTGTATTATGTGATAATTTAACATGTTATTTGTGTTTGTGTTATGTACGCATCTACGGTGGAAACAAATTTCCTCTCAAGGACAAAAAAAAAATCTATCTGATAGACAGATCCAATCGATGTCATTTAATATTTTTCTCCCTTTTTTCAGAACTACAGCCTTCGGGTTTCTGAACGCCTTGTGTAAGTTAGCAGCAGTCCTGGGCATCAGCATCTTCCAGTCGTTCGTGGGCATCACTAAAGCGGTGCCCATCCTCTTCGCGTCGGGGGCTTTGGCGGTCGGAAGCTTCTTGGCTCTCAAGCTCCCCGAGACTCGCGGTCAGGTGCTTCAATAGTGCGGTATTCCAGCCAGCGGTTGGCAGCGTTTGAGTAGGGAATGCCCGACTTTGTCGCCCCCAAACCCCAAACCCAGTCCGTGAGTGAGCAATGCTGGAAGCAGCCAAAACAAACCCCACATTTACAGATATCTTCATTCCTCCAATATGTGCAATTGCATTATTTCATTTTAATTTCATTTCATTCAAATCCACATGTATAAATATGTTCCCTGCTGATATCTCATTGTCTCACAGGAATATTGTGCGTGTGTGTGTGTGTGTGTGTGTGTGTAGAAAAACTGCCATGTTAAACACATTCCAGATTTGCGTTATGGTACGAATGTGAAATTTAACATGTTCATTTTGACTTTCCCTTTAATCTTCATCCAAGCCATCATGCGGTTTGAAAACCATCACTGAGGACCCGTGAAATCAGTAGATAGATATATTTGAATGGACAGTGTTGATCTAGTGGTGCTGGTGATGGTTATTGTTGTTGCTTTACTCTAGTCCTTTGTGTCCCGAGAAGTGTGTGATGCCGCAACTGTCTGCTATATGGGCTCAAGCACTCCTCACTTTTTAGATGTTTTACAGCATAAATGCTAACATTACATAACTATAGACAGTGTATCATTGGTTCACTCATTTTTTGTTGTACTCCATCTGACGAATTCGGTTGTTCTTTCAAAATGTCTGATATTGACAGTGTTGTGCATGCAATGAAGCGCGACATATGCTTGAAGATGGTAAACATAACTGATGACAGTGCTCTGTATTACTCTACTCTACCCATGATTCTTTGGACATGATGTCAAATATGAGAGTGACATGACAGGTTGTCATTAGTATGGTTTAGTAAGCCATTATTAATATTTTCCAGAGCAGTTTCAGTTGCGTCCCTTTTGAATGTGCGCAAACATTGAGACGAACCTTACATTCGCCCTGTTCTCATTAAAAAAATCCATTGAACACGTGAAAAAACGGAAAAAAATAAAAATGAAGCACAAAGTGATTTGATTAAAAACAATAGGTTTATTTTGATGATTATGTAAATTATGTATTGAATATAAATATATACAAATTAGCTGTAATTCAAGTCTGTCTGTTTGAACACTCAAACTATTATTAAATATACAAACATATATATATATAAGAAAAATATTTACATGTTCAGATGTTGAACTAGTATCAACATAATGTCTTAGATAGATTCCATTTGATGTATGTATATACAGGTTTTCTGTTCATTATGGAATTTAATTTTTTTTATCAAAGCAAATATATAAAAAAAAATGTCTGAATAAGTCCACAGATTTGCAGCACACACAAACGCCCTCCTTCATGTTTTCTCTTGTGTTCTTGTAAAGAAACAGAGGTATCCGTCTGTATGTGGGTGTGTGTGTGTAAAGTATGGAAGTACGTGTGCTTGCATGTGAAATGTTGAGTGTTCTCTGAATATTTGTATTTATTTATATAACTGTTTATGAGAGTTTGATTTTATAGTATTTTTTACTTTGAGTATCTGTAGAAGCAGATGTAGTGCCACATGCAGGGTGATTTTTTTTGCTGTATCATTGTTGACCTGATGTTCAATTTTTGGTGACTTGGTAGCAGTAACTGAATATAGCATCAAAAAGAGGCGAAAGTCAAAACTCAATGGATTTTAAAAACGATGTGTTGTAACGTTTGATGGGAAGCAAAAACCATGGATATCCCATTAGGACAAGCACTAAACCGTGCAACTCGTCCAACTTGGCACATTTTACCAAGCACAATTAATACTAGTTCTAGAATCATGGAAAACTGGTTTAATGACCAGATATTGAAGCAAAAAAAATTTTTAAAGACAAAACCCCACCCGGCTGGAAGCTATATTTCAGCCCTGTTCCTTTTAAACACACCCAGCGCTTACACAACAACAGTTTTTAGTGTCATTCAACATTCTTTACTGCCATTTTGTAGGATAGCAGCCATATTATGTGCTCAGAGTAGACAACCAACCATTTTTAGATTTAAAAATACTTTAACCAAAGTGGTTACCAAACACAAACTATTCATTTTAGGCACATATGTAACTAAGCGCTTAAAATGTTTATAACAGCCTTACATATTATTATTATTATTTCAATTGGAGAAATTGGCATTGCGCAGTGCCACGCATCACATAGTTTTAAAATGAACTGTCGTAGAAACTGCCATCCCTGCCGTGACCTTTGGTCACCAGTAGTGTCACAGATGCTGTAGTGACAATCTGTATGTGTGCCATGTGTGACCGTGCGCATCTTTAATTGCCAAATATTTTCTACTTCCTCAGTTTGTACTGGCAGATCTCTTATCACGGCAGACAAAAACATGATTTGTAATAGATTGACGTTCTAGCAGGGTGTGGTGATCTAAGCAAGCGAATAAAGAAATGGAATATGAAAAACAAAACAAGGCTTAGAGGTGGGCTATATGACCAAAATGTTATATCACGTTACGAGTCATTTTATTTCACGATAACGACATCACAATATAGCCTAGATATTTTTGCTTTAAATTATATCCAATTTTTTTGATACCATTGAAATTTCATAATTCTTGTCACCATTCATAAAAAAAATAATACTAGCCTAAGTAAAAAAAAAACAACTATCAAGCTTACTGAAGACAAGTTAGCAGTGACAAAGAAACTAATTACAGGCATATAGGAAAACAAACTACAATAGACATCAATTAAATAGACCTAGCTGAAAAACTTCAAGCACTAGAAATAAGAAATACTATAAAATTTTTTATAAAGTAATCAAATGTATATTGCCTCACTGTGTAAATTAAATATATATATATATATGTTTTTCTTATTAAACTTACACAAGTTATTCAGCCTTTTTTGTTGTTTGATTAACATTAATAACGACAGCAGGTAGATCGGGATGCTGTCTCTTTAAGAACGACTGCACGGATCCAATATACTCGTGCGTTTTCTTTCTCAACTGTTCACTTAAGACAATGAATAAATGACTGTGTTTACTTGCAAAGACATGGTCACTTTGACACATAAGTATGTGTATTTAACCGTTCAAGCCCAGTAAGTCGGCAAAAATCGGCTTTATGTGCAGACAGCGCTGAGAAACAGCACGCGCATATAGCGAAATGAGTAGTCTTTCGCTGCTTACTGCGCTTTAACGGTTTAATATCACTAGTTTTTAAAACAGCAATACTTAAAAATGCATGCAAACATCACATGAGTGTAACCGCGATAGAGACGATAGCCCAAAATCTCCGGTTGACAAAGTTCTACCGGTTAACCGCGTCTACCGGAATATCGCCCACCCCTAACAAGGCTTATATCTCTCAATCAGGTGTTTTACGCACTTAATGCTCGTGCAAACGGTCAAAATAAGCCGAAAGCTGGTTACAATAAGAGAATGCTTGAAAAATATAACTATTAAAGATTTGGTTTGTCAGTGAACTGTACGTACGCACAACCAATCGTTCGTTAATATAGAACTTATTTGATGTCACCATTTCCAAACAGTCCTGCAGTTTGTAACCCTCCATATGGTCACATCTCTTAATGTGTCGCTGTTGTTCCCTTCATTGAATTACGTCATATTTGCTGTCGTATGCTGTGAATTACAGTAACTAATCTCAGTGAAGCAGTGACTTATCTCTGTGTACAAGCAGTCCTGGATTTGGTGCGCATCATCACTTAAGATTGTGTACTGGTTGCAAGACATATGGGTTTTGTTACAGGGTCTTTTGTATTTCTAAACGTGCTCAATTAGCAACAACCAATCTTGTGTGCAAAAAGAAATCAAAGCAATAAGTGGTAAACATGTTCGCTCTGCCCCCAAACTATTGGGCAAGAAAGCACACTAACCCCTGGTTTCACAGACAAGGCTTAAGCTAGTCACAGACTAAAATGCATGTTTGAGGTGTTTTAACTGAAAGCATCTTCAAATATGTCAGTGCCACTGTTTTGTCTCAAGATGCACACCAGTAAAGTTTGTTTCCCCTAAGGCACGTTTATAAAAGCTACTTAAATGTCTTAACTGAACTAGGACCTAATCCTGGCTTAATCTAAGCCCTGTCTGTGAAACCGGGCCTAAAATGTCCGCTGGCCATATTTGATGAAACAGCAGCTGAAAGAAAACAGGCCAACATCTGTGTACTCTACAAATATACCATAGGTCTTCTGATGCTTTTGTCAGTTTCAATGTATTACCATAATTTAAATGTGACAGAGAGTTTATCACCTTATCATTGTACTGTGCTGTAGAGATTGTAGATGTTTGTATGTAAATGAATAAATATGTGGAATAATAAAAACAAAAAAAAGATAAAAATGTTGAACATGAGAAATAGAGTACTACTGTATGTTGTTCATTTTGTGATTTGTTTTTTTGTACATGAGAATGGAAATGTTGACATTATCGCTGAATATAGATTCCATCCTTACCAAAATGGTTCTGTATTACAGTTTGTGAGAGATTTGCTTTTGTTTTTTTGACTCGTATTCAGGGGGTTGGACTGCGCTCGTGCAGTTAAAACTGTCCCTCAGTGGATTTAAAAACGTACATACGAATAATAAACAAATGGTATATTGCTTGAATAGATTATTTGAGTTCTTGATGCACCACATAGACAAACTTTATTTGCATACTAAACAAAAAATCGGTTTTACTCACCCTCGTGTCATTCCAACCTCGTACAGAAGGACTTTTCCTTTCGTGAAACATAAATCTACATGCTTTGCAGAAGGTTCAAAGCCCTGTTTCCATATGAATGAAAATGGACCCTTTTCACAGACTGATGACGTTTAGTCCTCAGCATCGTAAATCCTGCAAAGTTTTAAAAATGCATGTACATGTATAACACTATACTTTGTTTTATAGTACCTTTGCATCAAAAAAAAAAAAAAAAAGAGTTAACACTGCTGTTAGGGTGTTTCTAATACTGTACAGTGTCTATGAGTGACGGTAAAATTGACATCTTTCTCTTTTCTGACTGCCATTATCAATCTCTCTCTCTCCTTTTTTCTCTTTTTGAACATAGTGAAAACACTATTGTGGAGTATTTCTTTTGCTATTTGAAAAAAAATATATATAAAAAAATTATGTAGCCTAGTTTCTCATTCACCACCATATAGGTTTTCCCAGGCTCTGGGTTTACCCATCCATGATAACTTCCACTTTGGAGAAACACGGAAATGTGAAAAGGGTCAATACTTTATTGCCATGCTCAACAAAAGGGTGAGAAAGCCGCATAAAAGTATGACATGTCTGTCTTCTAAAGACTAAATAAACAAAATAATCTGAGTGAAGATCAGAAATGTATATAGCCTAGGTCTATATTTAGGTGTTAATTTTTCAAACAGTCAAAATGTTATCTAACCCCAAATTAAAAAAGATTTTTCAAAGCAATTACGTTTTTGTAAATGTAGGCCTACTTCTGAATGGTAAATCTACAATACAGTGATAAGTAATTAGGCTATTTATTTTACGTTTTGTCAGCTTTTGTGGTTACGTTACGCCAACTTTGTACTGTATATAATATAAACATAGAATTAAAACGGTTTATTACTGTGTATACACAGTAGCTATATGGAATTTTTTTAACAACAAAACAATGGCGTATTTCGTGTGATGTATTGTAGGCTAGTAACTTAGCGATTAACAGCAACAGTAACCGTCCGATCTACATGTAACTGAAGCGTTTATGAAAACTGTGTTATTTATGTAATATTAAACCAAACCTGTTAGTATAACCAAAGACTGAATCTAAAAAATAAATGTAGAACAGTGCCATCAAGCGCATGTATTTGACGCAGCTCTCTCTCTAGCCGCTAGGCGGCAGTAGAGTTTCTGCAGCCCGCATTCTAAACCGTGAAGGAGGATCTGCATCAGTCGCTTCCTGTGGATGTTATGCAAAAACAACACGCAGAACACGAAAGGTGAGTGAAATGATTTGACCATGTATTTTCTCGGCCACTTGTCATTTGCTTAAATTAACCTGTGCTAGAAAATCCATTTTAAATAGCAACTGTGTCGGTAAATATAGAACATATAAATGGTAAACCTTTCGGCTGGGTGTCTGTCATATGAAGCTGCGTGAATTTGCGACATCAGTAACGTTATACTTTTTAGAGCATGACATTTATGAGATTGAAACGAGCAAGAGATTTCAACCACATGTAAACGTGTGGTCTCAGTTCTGCTGTTATAATAATTACAGGTGTCTACGGGGTTTCAGTTCCCTTTTGTACATATTTTGACAGCGCTTCAGCAAGTTAGTTTATTTGGCCACGTGCAAGATTAGGTTACCATAGCAACAGCGGGAGTGGTAAATGACAATTTAATTTTATTAATTATTAGGTCCCACTTCATATTAAGTGGCTTAAAGTACTATGTACTTACATCGAAAAATAAGTTTCGATGTACTTATTGTGTTCATGTTGTATTGTAAAACACATTGCTGCTATCAAGGTGTGATACGGGTAAAGTTAGGGTGAGGTGTGTGTGGAATGGGTCGGTTTAAGAATGGGTTAAGGTGTAAGGGAAGGGTCAACTGTGTAATTACAAATATAATTGCATAAATTAATTACAGCTGTAATTGCATGCTGGTATTTTTAATATATGAGTACAATTTAAAAACATGTAGACAAGTCCATTGTATCAAATTATTTATTTCAATTTAAGTACATAGGCTAGTACTTCAAGCCACTTATTATAAAGTGGGACCTTATTATTCAAGAGTTTCTTCTTTGTTTTCTTTTCCATTTTCAAACACAGCAGGTTGGAAATATTGGGAAAATTATATTAATTTGTCACCATCCTCAATATCTCAGAAGAGTTACCATATTTGGTCAAATCCCTTATGAAATCTGAAAAAGTAAATTATCTCTAAACTACTTAGTTTGTCTCAATCTAAAGCATCCAACCTTTTTGATAAAATTATGAAAATCATTATACAAATATCAACTCCTCACTGAGAAATGGCTGACTTTAGCTCTTTATTTTATTCCTGGTCATTTTTCTTTACATCAAATATCTCTTTATTATAAGCTTACATATCACAAGTATGTTACAGAATGCTTAAGTGTTTATTTGTAGTTTTTAAGTCCTTAAAGTCGCATGAAATGAAGTTGCGGTCGTCTTTTCTTCCCTATTCCGATCATGTATATCTGAGTAAAGTGCATTTTTATTTTTATTTTTTTTAAAGAGTTCTTCTTGAACAATACAAATTTAGGGCGGGTTTGATTTTGTTTATGGGGAATTGATTAGATGGGTGTGGTTTGCTATTGGTCGATCTCATGTGAGTGACAGGTTGTCCCGCCCTCACGCAGTAAAATACACCATCAGAGATGTCACTGTTAGAGGGAGGGGAAATTATCTTGATTAAAAATGATGAGGGCACATAAATTAAAAAAAAAAGTGCACGAATAAAACATTTATACAATCCTGCAATATTTAATAAAAAATAAGATTAGTCAGTTTTGATTTATGGGGACTTTAAGAAGGCAAATTGTGCTCATGTCTCATTGATCCTTCATGTTTTCCTGCAGGTGATCTCCTGTGCCCGATGCTGTCCTGTGCTCTCCGCTGCCTGCGTCCCTCATCCTGCACCCTAGCCTTATCCAGACAGCTGGCCCATCACCGGCCCCACATGAATCCCAGTTGTCCCCGTCCTGTAGAGACCACCATACGGACCAAACTGACCCAGGACCTCAAACCTGAGCACCTAGAGGTTATAAATGAGAGTCACATGCATGCTGTGCCTCCTGGTTCAGAGTCCCACTTCAGAGTTCTGGTGGTGAGTCCTCAGTTTGAGGGTCTTTCCCTCTTGCAGCGTCATCGGCTTGTGAACGAGTCTCTGCGAGAGGAGCTCAGCACACGTGTTCATGCCCTCGCCATCCAGGCCAAGACGCCCCAGCAGTGGAGCAGCAGCCCCAGCCTGGCCAAAAGCCCCCCCTGCATGGGAGGATCCAAGCATGATGACACAATGACTGAGAAACTGAAGGCAGGGAGAGACTGACTGTGACATGGCATTTCAGAAACAAAAACTGTTTATGGGGTATTATGATAATCCCATATAAAGTGAGTTAATTTGTTACACACTTGCTTCGTGCATATCTTTCATGTGGAGCTCACTAATACTCAATATTTAAATTACTATTGGCTTGGACCGGTTAAGTACTATAATAAAAGATAATTTATAATTTACATCAAAAGAAAATGCTTATTTCGTTTTATCACTTTGAATTCAAATTTGCAGTGTTTTTAATTTGAAAAATAAATAAACTCTTAGTAAGGATAAGGGATGATGTGACAATTATTTCCAACTTGTTAAATGGTTTCTTATCGAGTTGATACACTATCGGTCAAAAGTTTGGAAAATCTTTTTTTTAAATGTTTTTGAAAAGTCTGCATTTATTTAATCAAAACAGTGAAATATTACATTTTAAAATAACAGTTTTCTAATTAAATGTGTTTTAAAAAATATAGTTTAATCCTGTGATGGTAAAACTTAATTTTCAGCATCATTACTCCAGTCTTCAGTGTCACATGATCCTTCAGAAATCATTCTAATATGCTGATTTTGCTGCTCAGGAAATATTTATTATTATCAATATTGAAAACAGTTATGCTGCTTAATATTTTTGTGGAAACCATGATGTACCACCATTCAAAAGTTTGGGATAAGTAAGATTTATAAAAATAAAAAAAAAGGAAAAAATAAATGAATACCTTTATTTAGCATGGATGCATTAAATTAATCAAAAGTGACAGTAAAGACTTATTTTATAAAATGGATATATATATAATTTTGATTTTGAATAAATGCTGTTCTTTTGACCTTTATTGAACAACAAAAAATCCTCAAAAATGTATCACGGTTTCCAAAAAAATATGAAGCAGCACAACTGTTATCAACATATTAGCACATTAGAATGATTTCTGAAGGATCATGTGACACTGAAGACTGGAGTAATGATGCTGAAAATTAGGCTTTGATCACAGGAATACATTATATTTTAAAATAGAAAACAGTTATTTTTATTTTTATTTACTGTTTTACTGTATTTTGATCAAATAAATGAAGCCTTCTTTCAAAAACATTAACATTTTGAATGATTCCAAACCTACTGAAATTGTTATTATCTTACTTATAGAGAACAGAAACATAAGACTGCTGTGAAGGAAACCGATTGCCTGGATGAGCCGCCACTTATACAGTCTTACAATGGACAACGGCCATTATTCAGACATATTTGACTGCTGAACGCAGCTATTGACCAATCAGAATCAAGTAAACTAGAGTCGCCTAACATTTTATCCTTCTGGCTTCTAAAACTGGACTGAATGATCTCAAATCCATACAGTAGCTGGCAGGAATTGTGCCAGCAGAGGGCAACAGCAGATCAGACAGCAGCAGTATACGTATAACATGATATCTGTGGAGTCACTGGTGCCTCTTCCACTTGAAAATGATTTCTGGTTATGTAATTGAATATAAGCAGAGCTTAATTGGAAGCAAAACAAGCTCGATCTGTGTCTGACACCTCCAGAATTGGATTTGGCATCTATTTTTGTGGATCCCCACGCCATCTTAAACACATCTAAAGAAGTTTATTTCTTTAGGTAAGCAGTGTTAAAATGATTCATTATAGGAACAAATATACTATGTAGGCTCACCATACTTACGTCAACTTTCATAATCTAATACTTAATACAAATATCAACTAGTTATGAAGGTGATGGAAATGTGTTAGACACTATTCTGCCTGTAACAGGAAAAAAGTATCTAATGGCAATATGTTTTTATATATTAGAGTACAGAATCCGCACACCAAATAAATTTTTTTTTTTTTTTTTTATCAACGCACCCGACAATTTGATATATATATGAAATATATATATTTGGCACAAAACTTTTCCTTCTTTGTTTGATATGTCAAATTTAATTATTACAGGACTCTCTAGAAAATTCCTGTTGGTCACTTGTGGCATTTTACAGTCAAATATATTTGTGTAATATCCACTAAACTGTATAATCGACTGTTGCCACTGGAAAGCGATCTCCTGCATAGCTCTGCTAGTTTCATGTCTCTTATGTCACACTACTGTATGTACTGTCTTTTCACAATTTAAACTCAAATCATTATTTCTTTCACTGTTTTTATTTATTTATTTGGTAAGTATACATTTAAGTACACTCACCCGGTCATTCATTATGGCAAAAATGACTGCTTGGTTTGTAATAATAATGGGTTAACTGTGCATCCCTTGCTTAATTTCTCTCAGTGATACTTAGTAAATACTGACGATGAGGGGATTTTTTTATGAACGTGCATAAAGCAACCTACAGTACATGTTGGGGAACCAGTTTAGTATTAGTTTTACACTGCTTTTCAAAATATTGTCGGTACAATTTTTGCTGAGTTTTTGAAAGTTTCTTATGCTTGAGGCTGAATATATTTGAGCAACAATACAGTAAAAACAGTAATATTGTAAAATATATATATAAATAAATTAACAGTTCTATTCAAAACAGTGAAATATTATATTTTAAAATAAGTTTTCTATTTGAATATATTTTAAAATATAATTGTAAAGCTGAATTTTCAGCATCATTACTCCAGTCTTCAGTGTCACATGATCCTTCATAAATCATTCTAATATGCTGATTTGCTGCTCAAGAAACATTTCTGATTATTATTATCATTGTTGAAAGCGGTTGACACTTTTTAAAAAAGATTTTTTTTTTGATGAATACGAATAGGAAGTTCAAAAGAACGGCATTTCATTTGAAATACAAATAATTTTTAATATAATAAAGGTCTTGACTGTCACTTTTGATCAATTTGATGCATCCTTGCTGAATAAAAATATTAATTTAAAATTTTGTTAAATTAAAACCCAAACTTTAGCACTGTTTGTACTTGCTCGCTGACAGTGACAAACTAATCCATTACTGTATACAAATTACATGATGAAAATTGCAACTCATTACTCATTTTTGGTATAATCTGCTTACTTTTTGATTACTTTTGACTCATTTATCACATTGATTTGAATAGAATGATCTTGTAACATTGATATAAAAATGTGTAGAGAAAGAAAATTAATTCCTTTTTTTATTATCAACAACACAAAGTGTATTAAACATACGTCAGGCTTTTTGGGTTTCTGTAGAAACTGCAGGGGGTTCGGAAATTGTAGTTTAAAATAAATCAATCAAAATAAAACACTTACTAATATTACTTAAACATATTTGACTTGTTTATGCTGTGTGGCCTCTCAAACTTGTGTGTGCAATTAGAAAAAACTGGAAGACTTTCAGAAAAATGATAAACATTAGGCTTTTTTAGAAAGGAACATTTAAAAGATAAAATTAGAAAATAATTATTAATTTCTAATTATCATAATTAGGGAAAATCAGTGAATTATGAATAATTGCCATTTTGTGAATATTAAAGGGATAGTTCACCCAAAAATGAAAATTCTGTCATTAATTACTCACCCTCGTGTCGTTCCAAACCTGTAAGACTTTTGTTCATCTTCAGAACTCAAATGAAGATCTTTTTGATGAAATCTGAGAGCTTTCTGTCCCTCCATTGACAGCTACGCAACTACCACTTTGACGCTTCAAAAGGTTCATAAAGAGATCGTAAAACTAATCCATATGAATTGAGCAGTTTAGTACACATTTTCTAAAGAGACTCGATCGGTTTATATGATGAACAGATTGAATTAGGTTTTTATTCACATTCATCAACATTCATCAACTCAGTTGTGGTAAACAGAAGCTCAAGCATGTGCACTTGATGTGCAAGAACCAATGAGGTTCATTCTCGTTACGCATCACGTTTGAGCTTCTGCAAGAACCAATGATGTTCATTCAGGTGTTAAGCAGCACGTTTGAGCTTTAGCAAGAACCAATGAGGTTCTTTCTCGTTACGCGTCACGTTTGAGCATTAGCAAGAACCAATGAGGTTCATTCTCGTGTTGCGCAGCACGTTTGAGCTTCAGCAAGAACCAATGAGGTTCATTCTCGTGTTACGCAGGACGTTTGAGCTTCAGCAAGAACCAATGAGGTTCATTCTCGTGTTCCGCAGCACGTTTGAGCTTCAGCAAGAACCAATGAGGTTCATTCTCGTGGTCCGCAGCACGTTTGAGCTTCAGCAAGAACCAATGAGGTTCATTCTCGTGTTACGCAGGACGTTTGAGCTTCAGCAAGAACCAATGAGGTTCATTCTCGTGTTCCGCAGCACGTTTGAGCTTCAGCAAGAACCAATGAGGTTCATTCTCGTGGTCCGCAGCACGTTTGAGCTTCAGCAAGAACCAATGAGGTTCATTCTCGTGTTACGCAGGACGTTTGAGCTTCAGCAAGAACCAATGAGGTTCATTCTCGTGTTCCGCAGCACGTTTGAGCTTCAGCAAGAACCAATGAGGTTCATTCTCGTGTTACGCAGGACGTTTGAGCTTCAGCAAGAACCAATGAGGTTCATTCTCGTGTTCCGCAGCACGTTTGAGCTTCAGCAAGAACCAATGAGGTTCATTCTCGTGTTACGCAGGACGTTTGAGCTTCAGCAAGAACCAATGAGGTTCATTCTCGTGTTCCGCAGCACGTTTGAGCTTCAGCAAGAACCAATGAGGTTCATTCTCGTGTTCCGCAGCACGTTTGAGCTTCAGCAAGAACCAATGAGGTTCATTCTCGTGTTCCGCAGCACGTTTGAGCTTCAGCAAGAACCAATGAGGTTCATTCTCGTGTTACGCAGGACGTTTGAGCTTCAGCAAGAACCAATGAGGTTCATTCTCGTGGTCCGCAGCACGTTTGAGCTTCAGCAAGAACCAATGAGGTTCATTCTCGTGTTACGCAGGACGTTTGAGCTTCAGCAAGAACCAATGAGGTTCATTCTCGTGTTCCGCAGCACGTTTGAGCTTCTGCAAGAACCAATGAGGTTCATTCTCGTGGTCCGCAGCACGTTTGAGCTTCTGCAAGAACCAATGAGGTTCATTCTCGTGGTCCGCAGCACGTTTGAGCTTCAGCAAGAACCAATGAGGTTCATTCTCGTGTTACGCAGGACGTTTGAGCTTCAGCAAGAACCAATGAGGTTCATTCTCGTGTTCCGCAGCACGTTTGAGCTTCTGCAAGAACCAATGA